ATTATTCCCAAAAAATTATACGTATTTTGGAAATGTTGAGTCGAATTAGTCTAGAATCGATTAATTTTATGGAAGAAACCTTTCAAACAGCCGTAGTCCGTAAACTGCACACGTGTCGGGCTGGACTCCTAGAAGCTGGATTCGTAAAACTCGAAACGTATCTACCGTGTTATAGAGGGGTCGACTGTATTAACATTTTGCACAAAGTAGTAAGAATTCTTTGCATAATTCATAACCCGAAGCCGGAAACGTAAAACAAAAATGGCGTCAAAACATCCAATATGTCGTAAAGAATGACACTCTGTTACTTACTCTAATTAATAATAAAACGCATCGTAAGATGCCGCCAGCAAGCTGGCTTGAACAAAGTCCTAGATAAGAGTGATGACACGCTTTTCCATATTTTTTGCCGACAATTTTATCCACAATTAAAGATTCGCATCGAATAACGTTGAAAGCGCCAAAGTAGTACAGGTAATCCCCGTATAACACGGGAGTTACGTTCAAAAAATTGCCGTGTTATGCGAATCCGTGTTATACGAAACTGTTGGAAAAATAAATTTTCTACATTTTCATGATCTGTCTATAGGTGGCAACACCGATCGTTTTGTTGTGAGCTCCCTCTACTTCTTTGTCTTTTTTTCCCGCCTTTTTCGTTCTCTTCAAGTGTGTGAAGTTGTAGTGTTCCTTCTTTTGTGTAAATTAAAGTTTATTGTTAGTTATAACAGTGTCTGTTGCAGATTTAATCATCCAGTTTCAACAGAAACAAAGAACTAGTGCGAAAAGGGGGGTTAGGTTCCAAAAATTAAAAAACATGCTATTAATTAAATCCTTATTTAAATCGAATTTATTATTCATTTTTTTCATAGGTAAAAGAGTTATTATTTAAGTAAATATTTTACCAGAGGATTATTCATCCTGTATGATGATCTCAGCATGAGCATCATCAACTGGTAACAGTTTTTGGGTGCGTTCGTTAATAGCGGTCGCTCTGCAACGGGAATGCGCTGCTGTTCGTAGGCATTTAGGAACAACGGTGAAAGAAAGATGGCGGCGCCCGCACTATCGACAGTATCGCGATGGAGGAATCTATAATTCTAAAACGAGCTTTTAGAGGCAAAAGAAGGGTCCCAATTGTAAAATTTAACCATTAAATGAATTATTTGTTGAAAGAGCATTCAAAGTAGCCACGAAAACAAATAGAATGCTCTCGCGGAGTAACGCAGAAGTATAAAAGAACGCACCCTTTATTACGTTTTATGTTGTACGAGGGTTTTACCCAATTCCCGAACCGTGTTAGAGTGAACCCATGCTATAAAACCACCGTGTTATACGGGGGATGTTCACAATTCTCTAACCATGTTAGAGTGAATCCGTGCTATAGAAGTGCCGTGTTATACGGGGGTTACCTGTATTTCCAGAAAAAAATGCGAAAAACTGTAAAACCCCTAAATTGAAATGGATCAGTTGAAACAATGACTAATTTCAGTTAAAGGTGTAGAATGACATTGCTGCAAAAATTGGATCATTTTTATCACTAAATACATGTAACCCCCGTATAACACGGCACTTCTATAGCACGGATTCACTCTAACACGGTTCGAGAATTGGTACCATCCCCCGTATAACACGGTACTTTTACAGCACGGATTTACTCTGACACGGTTCGAGAATTGGGTAAAACCCTCGTACAACAGGAATTGTAATAAATTTTCACATACTTAAGTAATAATAGTTCACGAAAATTATTATTTTCGTAAACTATTAGTACTTAAGTATGTAAATTTTTTCTCGCCTTCTGTCGATACACGTGGTCCTTCTCGAAACTTGTTTCAATGTTGCCAGATCGCGACGCTTCTGCTTCTGATGTTGCCGAATGTTTTTCCCTTATTCCATACTTGCTTTATTTTTCATAAGTGCTTAGCACCATATAAGGAAATTTATAAAGACCTTTTAACTAGAAGCAAGCAATCTAAAATTACATACATTTTGCAAAAGGTAAAGCATGGATCTGAAGATAATGCAGAAAAATGCTCAGAGGATAAGGATAACTTGCCAAAAAGAAAACGCTCTCGGTTAATTAATAGTGTTTTTAGTGATGACGAAGAAAACATTGTTTAATTTATATTAATATGTATCACTTTAAAAATTTTAATGAAGATATTTATCTTAATTATGAAAATATACTAGCATGTTTTTAAATTTTTGGAACCTAACCCTCCTTTTTGTATTAGTTCTTTGTTTCGTATAACACGGATTCGCATAACACGGTAATTTTTTGGAACGTAACTACCGTGTTATACGGGGGTTACCTGTACTTTAGAAAACGACAATAATGTATTCTGTATAATGAAAAAGTTGCACGTTCACATGTTTTATGCAACGTTTTTCTATTTGAAGTTTTAAGAGTTTAATATACTGTATTTTAGTTTTAAAGCGAGGTTCTGCCCTTAAAGTACGCATTTCTCTTGTAACCGATGTCTATTTCCTTATTTGTGACACAGAGTTTTATAAGCTGCATATTTTGGGGCACTAACAAAAACGGTATGCTAATGGGAAAACGTCGCTTGTGATATTTTCATGTTTGGCTCTCGCTATCAAACATGAAAATATCTTTAATGAAAGCGCGGAATGTCAAATGGAAATTCTGCTTTATTTGAATTTAGTCATTATGTTCGTCTTCAGATTTTAGAGATTTATAAAAATCTGTTTTCTGGACTCAGAAACTTGCACATGGACATTAGATCCTTCTTGAAATTTTTATTGGAATCGGTCTACTATGTGTACAGTACTTACGGTAGATGTATGTTCTGAAGGCCCTTAAAGCGATTTAGAATTTCCTGGTGTGCAGTAAGGAAAATGCACCTGATGGTTGTATATCACATGGACATATTCTAATAACAGTAGTAAACTGAACCCACTTCATGAGGTAATTTTCAGATACTTTGGCCTCACGAAAAAATTTTCTGAAAATCTTAGGTCCCTTATGTCATCCTTCGTTGCATGCTCTATAATCAAAAATTTGCAGCAAGGCGTTATCAAATAAAACTCCTTTTGTTGTTAGAAACAACAAAACAGAAAACAGATTTTTATAAAACTCCTTTTGTTGTTAGAAACAACAAAAGGAGTTTTATTTAAAACCAAATGTCAAAGGAATGCAGTTTGAGATATTAATGCTGGGGGAATATGCTTGAGTTACGAACAGAAAATTCAGTAAACATCTCCGGCCGGTGTCGGAATCCGGAATGGCATTAAAACATTGGCATTGATCTCACCGTCATCTCGAATTCGGTTCCGAATAGCAAAAAGTAAGGAACCTTGGCAACAAGAAAGAATCTAATCGAGGGAGGAGCAGAAGGAGACCGGAACCAACCGGAATGCCCGAATAAAGATGCATGCCCTTTAGAAAGCCCGAAATCCGAGGACAGGGAGGCTTCTCCCGCCAAAGTTTCACGCGTGCTAGACGAAAAAGAATTACCAGCATTCTTCCCTAAGCGTGACAGCTTTTTTGGTGCGCCGTACACTTGGTGGATCCTACTACTGGACCTCGAGACTCGTCGAATAACTATTCCGGGGTAAAGAGCCCGGGGTGATCAAACATCTGGAACCTCACCAGAACTTTTTCTGGTTAAACAGTATTAGAAAATACATCTCCAAATTTTGTAAGCTGTCTTTTTGTTTTCTAATAAGCGAAGTCCTTGCATCACTGCACTCCACCCACAAACGCCGTTTATTTTCACTCATTATCCTGAACGACTACGCTCTTCTGCTAAAGAAAAGTGTCGACCGCGTTACTTCACACGATATCGAGTCTGTGATTAAACCTCGTGAGTGGTTCTCACAAATTGTTTATAAGTTATATAAAGATATGTGTAAAATTCAACTATGGAATCGGTTATTTGATAAGTTAAAAGGTTATATTTTTAAAAAAGTCAAAGATAAAACACTTCTTGGAATAACAAGGAGAAATTATTCTTGTCAGTCTTTACCGATATACCAGGAAATTATTTAAAACTAAATGTTCTTAAAAAAATAGGATTTTACACAGACCAAGTTCTTTCTAAAAGAACTTGGTCTGTGTAAGTTCTTTCTAAAATAAACCAACTTTATTAGTTTAATATTACCTCCAAATTCATTTTGCCCTGACTGTAACAGGGTCTCTTCAGTAGATATAACATCACATAAACTTAATTCATTTTTGAAAATTTTAATTAATTAATTATTATTATTATTATTTTGAACCCGTTTTACAGGACAACATTATTCATTAATCTGGTAATAATACCGATTGGTCGAATTCCGATTATTGGAATTTCCATTTTTTAACCAAATGTTTCAGTGTTAAAAACTTATTCAAGTAAAGTTTATCAATTTGAATAAGATATAAATTAAAGTTTAATTCATGCTCATTCAGACTACTATACTATTCACGATAGATGAAAGTTAATTATACTTATTTAAATAAATAATTGGTTAAAACTTAATTAAAATAATTTTCTTCCAGGAAAATATTTATCATTATTGAATATTTTTCCAATTCTTCAAATACCATCAATCAATATTTATCTTTATATTTATCAAAAATAAATAATATGAATTAATGCATGCATTTATAAAAACAAGTTAACCTTAAAAATACACATAAACTATATTTAAAAAATACGTATATTGTAAAAAAATATCATCAGTTATTAATAAACAATAATTTTGAACAATATCGTATAATTCTAAATTATAGTTTATAAATTATAATTATAATATAAATTTTGACAAGTATTAAAATATATATGGAGATATATTTTTTCTCTAATTTGCATAAGCATTATTTATCATTTGTCAATAATAATACTGTCTTTCAAGTACATGTAATTATTAATAAATTTTTTTATTTAACCTACTTTTTGTTATACTGTATATATAAATAAGGAAAAAGTAATGTTAATAAATTAAATTTCTACTATAAACGTATAAAGTAGTTCTTCGTAGAGTAGAAAACTTTTATATTGGAAATGAATTATTTAGCCATTTTATTCAATATATTTCTTCTTTGCTGCTCAATATATTGTGTCTCAGGTTCTCAGGAGTGCTCGTCATTTTTTCTTGATCGTTATTGTGGTAAGATAACTATTTTCACGCCTTAAAATTTATTATAACAAAGATTATATGATCGTTATACATTTAAAAAGTTAATACTCTATAATTAATTTTAGCATTAAAAAATGGACGATCTGCAGTGGAATGTGGAAGAAGATTTAATATCTCTAGAGTAAATAGATACTTTGTCGTTAAATTTTAAAGATATTCAAACATGCTTTAAATAAATAGAAAATTATTTTTCAGCCGTTTGAAGTTTTTGAAAATTGCTACGATTCAAATAATCCAGATGAAAAACGTTTGGGAACAGCAGAAAAACTCGAAAGATTGTGTACAGTTCTTGATCCTGACGTAAATATTTTTGCTAATAAAATATCTATAAGAAATCAGTGCAATTATAACTGAAAGCAAATGAGCATACGAACTTTATAAATTTTATCTTTATTGCATTTATTTCAGTTTTATTTTTCTTGCTTTTTTTGTATTTTAATAAAATTAAAAAATATATTATGTTTCAGATATATAATGCTGTGAAACAATGTTACCAAACATCAGCATACATTGACTTGAAACAAACTAAAACAGTATTTAAAATAACTGAGGTAAAAAACTTCAAAATATTCTTGATTACATTGTAATACTGTATATATATACATTATAGAACTTTAGTACTATATGTAGTACTATAATATATATTATTAATACTACATATTTTTAATATTTTAAGTATTTATTTATTATTTTTTTAGGTATATAATGCTGTCAAACAATGTTACCAAACAGCAGCATACATTGACTTGAAACAAACTAAAACAGTATTTAAAATAACTGAGGTAAAAAACTTTAAATTATATGTGATTACATTGTAATACTGTGTATATATATATATATATATACACATTAAATACATTCACACATCATTTATAAATAGGGCCACTTTTTGTATATTTGTAATATATTATTATTACAAATATACAAAATGTGGCCCTATTCATAAATGATGTGTGAAGTATTTCGCAGGCCAGTTTGACCCTGAAGGCAGCAATTTGGGCACTACTGAATACAGTAGTTGATCCTCTTTTATTATTTTAATTAAAAGAAAAAAATATTAAAAAATAATTAAATAACTTACAAAATTTTACACATAATTTGTAACTTTTATTCATTTTATTTTATATTTTATAAAATTATATATAGAATATTACAGAGCTATTCATACGAATTTCGGTAAATATTCTTTGTTTGGCAGCTGCTGGCCATTCGTTGCGCTTAAATTAAAAACATTTTTTATTGTAATTTGGGGTTTAATGTCTATAAATTATGATTGTTAATGTTATAAGAAATACTTAAAACATAATTTTTATACAATTTTTATAATTATTTAATAAAAAGCATATTTTTTATTAACAATTTCGATTGTCTAAATCATAAGTAAATTAATAATGATTATTATTCGAATACACAAAAATGTAAAATAAAATATTGACGTATAAATTTTCGACAGTTTTTTTATGCATTATTCATTCTTTTCGAGTCTAATTAACGTTTTAAAATTATTTTATAGTGCTATAAAGTTTTATTCTACATCTGGATAATGGTTTAATTATATATTCTTTACTAATCATAAAATAGAGAAAATTACTGAGAAAATTTCATTATTGTAATTTTTTAAGTTTGCAAATGATGATAAAACTCTCTTAAATAAATAAAATAACATGTTTTTTTTTTAGAATCAGTTTTGTTCTTAAATACAATACAATACAATCTCGGTAATCCGTAATATTTGAAACCGAAACAGAATCGGATTCAATAAGAAGTTTGCCGGATTATTGGAAGTAAAGTGAATTTAATGGAAAGAAAACATTTGTTTATTTGCAAGATTGTACTGTACATTGTATTAATTAAAAACATATACAGGATGAATCAATTTGACTCACCCTGTATATGTTTTTGTTTCCTGCATACTTTCCAAATGTGCCCACCAGTGTCCACTGGCCGAGTCGATATAACCACCGAACACTGGTAACTTATTTAGTCGTGGGTTCGCTCCTCGCCAATGGGCTGGTCACGTAGAATTTTTCGCAGTTTTCTTCACGTTTATGACACCTAAATAGATAGCAGTTTCCCATAAAAGACCTTTCAAGATTTGTGTTAAAGTATTTTGTTTTATATCACAGATCCCCGTGGACCAAATATTTAGGAATTTAGAAAAATACCTTTGTGATAATAGCAGCAAATCCCCGCTATATAGCAGTGTATAGATGGCATTTATTTTATTTTATTTTCAATAAAATATCGTAACAGNCGGGGCAACTTCGTCAATTTCTCTCTTCTTGTAAAGTTGTAATTATTTTAATTATTTTTATTTCCAAACTGATTTTAACCAGTTCTATAGTAAGGAAACATTCCAATAGACAATATGCAAAGCTTTTTTCTCAGTTTACAGCAGTATTTATTACACAAAATTTAAGTAAAGCTTAACATGCCGATCTTGCCCCGGTCTCCCCTAAATTTAGATACTGTACATCGCCGATTTTCCGGCAATTGATGGTCCGGCACCTCTTTCAATCCGGACATAATTACGTGTGGACACCAGAATTTTCCGCGATTTACCAGACTAGGTCACTGGGTCACAGCCAGCGGCACTGTTTTTCGTTTGCTTTCAGTGTTGATAGTACTGTATAGAAAATTTGTTGCCGTTTAGGCTATTATTCTCACGTAAAAGTGACTAAAAATTTTGGGGATAATTTACATAATACTTTGGGGATCATTTTAATTCACATAATTTTTGTTTAAGTCTCTATCAATCACTATTACTTTAGAGATACAGGAGGCGTGTAATTAGTGAATAAGAGTTATATTACTGAATTTTACTACCTACCACTGTTAGTCCGGCAAAATGGATAATCTAACCCGGTTCTGGATCACCAAGAGTGCCAGAAAACCGGTGGTGTACTTCCATCAAATATTTAAAATATTTTATACAACAATATGAAGTTAATTAATTAATTTTTATTTTTTAGATTTGTATTTCTCGTGTTGAAATGAAAGAAGGAAAGGTAATTTTATTTTTTAAAATACATTTATAACTAACATTTTAAAATAATTCGTTACATTGATAATAGCCATTGTGGGGATTGGAGCCGTCAAAATTACAGTTATGCACATTTAGGGTAGGGCCCTGCCAGCAGGTATGTTTTGTCGGACACACCTCCGATTTAGACAAAGAAACAAATAGTTAAGGCGCGAGGGTAAGAGTCACTCCGAAGTCCAGGAATGAATACAAAGTCAAGTACAAATAAAAAGAAAGTTTATTATAAAAAAATAAAATAAAATAAAATTTTAAAACAAAATTATAAAATCCGATTTAGGAAGTTGGCCTACTTCTATCTATAAGAAGATGGGGGTACCTAGTATCCGAACTGCGCGACTCACAACATACTCTATTCACTTTCTCTCTCTGTGCTCTTCACCCTTTCGTCTACTTTCTCTTTTACTCGGTCTTCATTCAGTCTTTCACTAGGTCAGTCGATCAGTCGCTCGGTCCTCAGTCCGTCAGTAAATCACTAAGTCCGCTTTCTCCCCGATCAGTCAACCAGTCATTCAGTCCTACTCTCCCTGAATTTCATCATTTTTTCTATTTTATTCTTCGTTTTTGACCAGTCATGCTTTTGTTCAGGTAGAAGGTAAAGTAATTTGTAAAAAAACATGATTGGTTATCCAGTGGTCCTCCTTCTCTCTTGTCAATGAAGAATGATGTGCGTCCATGTGATATCGGTCATACAACTCCATCGAAAAAGGGGGAAACGACAGCCATTTTCCTCATTTTTTCCTTCGCATGTTGAGATTTATAACAGTTAATTGATAATTGTTTTGGTTTAATTTGTTTCTCTAAATTATTTTAAATCAATATTACTAAAAATTTGGAAAGGAGGTCCCTAAAATCGGAAAAATGGACGAAATTCCTTTACAACGGTGGTTGATATACAAACAATCTCGGTGTCGCGTTTACATACGCATCTTCCAAAAGTGGGTTCAAAGGACATCTGTCTGATAGCTAACGGTTGTTATTTACACAGCCAGACAGAACCAAAAAAAAGGATATAAAACACATAAAGAGTTTAAAATACAATAAAATTTCTGATTATTGAAAATACATTATTAGCAAAATGATTAAAATAAAGTGATTAAAATCATACAGATACAATTCACGAATACATATATATATATATATATAATACCAACAAATTACAGATGTTGGAGGGGGAAATGGTAGGCCTCACACCATTACACAACATATGTATGATGTTTAAATTTATTAAATATTTAATTAAATATATATTAAATGAATGAAAATATTTAATTTGTACTTTATTTATTTATACATTAAATTTAAAATTAAATAAATTTCTATCAATTAATTGTATTNTAAATTTCTATCAATTAATTATATTTTTATATATTATATTTTTATTTTTGTAAAAAGATTAAGAAATTTGTTTAGATTAATATAATAAAATTCATTTTTATTACTAAATATGATTTTCTTTACCATTCAAGTACTGTGGCCTTGGAGGACTTTTTAATCTTCTTCATCGTATTCATCATCATTACTATCCAACGTTTTTTAAACGAATATATTTTAGAATTTAATTATAACAATTTTTTATTAAATTAGATTTTTTCAAGTTGTTAATTTTAAGTTTTATCATATTTAATTAAAACAATTTGATTAATTGAAATTAAAATACATTTAATGAAATTTAAATTTGTATATTACGTAAATTAATTATATTTTAAAATAATAAAATAATTTTAAAATTCTGAGTTAATCGAATATATATGTAATTAATAAGTGTTTTCTTACAAAATTGATATCAATCGTATTATGTTTAGGATATAATATGATTAATAATAGCGAATTGATCTTAAAGTCTAAACTTCAAAATTTTTAAATCTAAAACTTGAAGTAATAATCTTTCAAATATAAATTTAAAAATTTTCGGAAATATGGACAAAACTGGAAAGTAATTTTTAGAAACTATGTAATGGTCTCATTGAGGGAAATTTGCACGAACCATCAGTTTGGAAAGAGTCAAATTTTGACACATTTTTTCTCTTGTATTTTTAAATAAATTTAAACTCGAAAATTGACAATATAGAGAAAATATACATTAAATAAGCTTTAAATTGATACATTAAGACGAGGGATGCTTTTTAAGACAATTCTCAATGATCTTCGCAGACACTTGATCCCACGATACTGTCATAAGATATAGAGCATCATATAGACAAGTTCTTTTAGCAATAGTAGTCGAACCAGTTCGTCTTCTACTATCATCTAATTCTCCTAAAATTTTTCCATATATTTTAATTTCTGAAGTATGCCTTAGTTAGATACGATTACGTGATCGCATGGCTTAATCAGTGATCAGAGAATATTCACAAGAAGCAATATTATTTTAATGTTTCTTAATGATGCATTCTTAAGACATGAATATGCTGTTGAAACTTCTATCGACAAACAATGTTCCGTTACAAGTTTATATTCCGTTTAAATAACCAGTTGTTAAAAATGTAAGTTACCTTCTAGGCATTTGCAGCAGAATACTAATTTGTAAGTGTGCTTAACGTCCTTAAAACATATTTACTTTTTACAATCACTATAAGTCTTTTTTCTGGCTTTGAATATTAGCACACAAAAAATTGTAATGTGTTTCTTCAGAGATTTAAATCTGTTAGGATGTTCGTGTTTAAATACGTTTGTATTATCAGGCATTGCACGAAAATAAAGCGCTGTTTTGTGTGCATTATAGATATTTCTTGGTGAATATTCAGGAATAATGTTTGGTCATTCTGTCTTTATCCATAATTCAGTTGATACAGAATCAAAACCTTTCTCCTATCTACGAGTGCATCTATACCTATGGTTGTCTCCTTTTATTCGCCGGTTGAACCACTCATCGTTTGCAATAAATCTTTATTTCCAAAATTTATAGTTAACGTTTCTGCTCTTCTGCATTAGTAGTTTTATAAAAAGAAGAGTGATTTACGAAAGTTTTTTAAAACATTATTAAACCAAAGCTTCAAAGCTGACTCAACTTCACTGTATTTTCCTATTTGATTTCTTTTGCGAATCATGTGATCATATTTTTCAATTTTCAATTTTTTTTTTGTCTATTGACGTTTTAATGCTCACTCTGTTCTTTAAATCTTGCATAAAACTGGCCTGAAATTTTTATCTGCGCAACATTGATTCATTGTTGACAATTTCTCATAGCAATCTAAAATTTTACATTCTTTTGGCATGTCTTTTTGTCTCTTATTTGCGTCTTTCATTACGCTAAGAAGTACAATATAGGACCTTTGACTTAATTAAATAATAATGAAGAACAACTCTTCAACAACAGGAAATAGCTAGTCTATAAACGAAGCATCCAGTGTCCGAACTGAAAATTTAAACAATAGTAATGTGCACAGCATTGAGTTCAAGATTAAAACGGACGTTTAACGAGAGTAAACGTCTAAATTTTTGTTTTGCAACATCATAATGTTAGAGGTCTAATAAGAATATCCGCGAATACAATAAGCAACACCTACTGTATTTAAAATTAAAGGTCTTGATGTAAACTGATGTCAGATTGTAGTCATGTAAAGAAAAATATTATAATGTTTATTCTATCTGTATTTAAATATTATTTATAAGTTTTGTTTTAGAAATAGATTTTTATGAAATAAATCCTTCAAGTTAAATTTGAAAAAGTGTAGAAAGTACTGTATTTCACATCTATAAAATTACTTTTGCACAGAACTAACTATAATTCTATGCAAAAAATGCTCTATTTAATTTCTAATCAAGAAATAAAAAACAAATTTAGCCATAAAAACAATTATGCTATATTATTAAATTGTACAGTATGATTTTATAATAATTATATTATTATAATAATATAGCAATTCATTTGGAAAATTGCGTAAAATGATATTCTTCATAGTTTCAGAAAAATTTTTTTAACCTTCGCGAATATTTCTGTAAAATATGATGGAACAAGTCTAAACAAAGATACATAAATCAAACTTAATTATTTTATTAAGAAAGGATTACCGTGACAAATTCGTGACAACGTGACGGAAGAAATTATTCGATATATGATATGTACTCGTCAACTACTTCTTGTACCAACGAAATTTACACGTGGTGTTTAACAAAACCACGTGTAAATTTCGAACCTATTCTATGTTTTCTTAAGATAACCTGAGTATCCCCGTGTACAGTACATTAGCTAAATAAAGATTATATACTCTGTACATTCACCTATCTCAAGCTCGAACAGAAAAAAAAAATGAAAATAAAATTAACGATTAGACGGTAGATTATCACGTGCATAAATACCATTAAACATAAATTTATATTTAAAATTAAACGTTTCATAACGCAGAGAACACATATTTTAGTTGTATCACACGCCTGAAAACTCTTATTCCACTCACGTATACTTCCTGTGAATTAGTTTTTTAGCGCTAATATAAAAAGTTTGAATAACATTTTAATAACATATTATCTCGAAAGCAATGTATTTATCAGCATATATCTGAGAATATAATTTTGTTTATAATTTTTTAAATATTTAACAATAGTCTGATAAACGCAACCGAAATATTATCAGGAGTCACAGTAATGACTCTCCACCAAGTAAAAAAGTCACTGACTGACTACATATACAGGAATCAGTGTTGCCGATTCTCGGGGATCGATTTCGCCACCCCCCAAACACCTATAGTAATTCTGAATATCCCGTTCGAAATAAAATTGTTTTCTTAGCTATTGTGCAAAATTTCAATATTTTCTATGAAGCGGTTGCCAAAATATAAACAATTTAAAATTGCAAAAATAACCAAAAAAGCTGTATTTTCTTCTGCTTTATCCGGCACTGCAGACGTACTGGTACGTAGAGAAAAAACTACTGGGTCTAGAAAGCTCAAACTTTAAACTTAAGCTTTTCTCATTGTCAGTGAGGTGCTCGCAAAACTTCCGGGTCGATAGGTCAAAGTTCATGGGACTTCCCTTAATTCAGTTTTACAGCTTAATTTTATGCTAATAAAGATAAAATTGAATGGAAACATGAATTTAGTTCAAAATGTTACTCAGAATTACAGAAGCTAAAATATATGTCAATTAAAACTTTTTATAATGATTTTTCTAAACGATATATTAAATTATTTATACCTTATACTTATTAAAAATATCGAAGTACTGGCTAATGTATCGGCGATGCTCGATTATCTTAATAAAACATCGAACAAGTTCGAAAAGTACACTTAGTTTACACTTGTTAAACGTTGATATAAAATCTATTTTTTTTAAATAATTAATTAATAAGTAATTTTGTATAAACCTGTTCCATTGTATTTGACAGAAATATTCGCGAAGGTTAATTACTTTTTTATAGAAATATTTTATATCAGTTCAATCTGCAACAAAATAATTTAAAATGATATATTTCGTGACATATAATAATATAGGGGAGACCGGGGCAAGATCGGCATGTTAAGCTTTACTTAAATTTTGTGTAATAAATACTGCTGTAAACTGAAAAAAAAAGCTTTGCATATTGTCTATTAGAATGTTACCTTACTATAGAACTGGTTAAAATCAGTTTGGAAATAAAAATAATTAAAATAATTACAACTTTACAAGAAGAGAGAAATTGACGAAGTTGCCCCGGGTATAGGGGCAAGATCGGCAACTTCTCTCTTTTTGTAAAGTTGTAATTATTTTAATTATTTTTATTAAAGTTGCCCCTGGTATAGGGGCAACAGTAATGGGGCAAGATAGGCACGTATATAAAATTATGTTATTAACAATGTATAAGTTGGAATTCACTATTAAAACAAAGAAATACAAATCCAACACCCATTTAATATTATTACAACGAAATGCAAGTTCAAAGACATATATACATGAATAACAAATGCAAACATGTTTTCATTTATCATCTGTTTGATTTTTATCCTTTGCTTCTAATGTGGCTTTATGTTGCCGATCTTACCCCGCTAGTCATGATTTCGAAACATTAAGTACAACCCTGAGAACAGAATGCCAAGCCACGATCTGGCCACGTGAATAAGTTGAAGTTACATCCTTCTAACAGGAAAAGTAACTTTCGTTATCATGGAATTATAACAAAACCTGCCAATTCAATATAAATGGAAAAAAAATATTATATGGAATTGAACGAAAATGAAAATTTGCTTGATAATTCAACTACGCTTGTTGGAGAACAATAAAAACACTACACTCAACAAGCCACCAATAAAACTCAACTGCCTAACCTATAACCAAAGTCTCCTTTTAATTTGTTTTTAAAAAAAAGCGCTTGACAAACTTGCCCCGCATGCCGAAGTTGCCCCGGTCTCCCCTATATTTAAATTATATTAAGGAATATATGTAAATAAAAAAAGAAAGATAAGTTTTCCTGGTTTTCAAATCTGTTCGATGTTTTCTATGCTCGAGCATTGCCTGGTACATATGCTAGTTAATAATAATTTTAAAAAGAAACTATTATACTCTATATTCGTCAATTAATATCATACATAATTAGCCCTATTTAATTATATCGAATAACCTAAGTCGATTACACTAGGCGATAGAATCTGAGAGTCAAATTTAATACAAAGACACAGAAATTCCTGCAAAAATTGTTCACTAGTCTTTGCATTAAACTTGAAGGAAGTTTGGTTTCCTTGTATTTACAAAGAACCTAATCTTTCTTTAAAAATAATTAGGCGAAGATCTTCGAGGAATTGCATGTGATATGATTACTGCTAATAAGAAATTCCTATTCTTCGTTCTCATATAATTGAAGCAACTTAATTTAAAGGCACGATGAAAATCGATCAACTTTAATGAAAGTATATCAAAATACAAAAGAATAACCTATATGATTCCACTTTATCCTGTGTCTGGAAATGTTTAGAGAAATATTGAAGCGACATGTCTGCTAAAGAGACATAAATAAAACATAAAATAAATACATATTTGAATATTTTATTTTAGATTTAAATTCTCAATAATTTATACAGCATATGCTACAAAATCAGTCAGGAATAAAAACTCTTAGCGGAAAGTAATATATAATGTAAGCTATATAATAATAAAATATTTTCATATTTTCATTATATATACATAGTATAGTATATACATATATTACAATATATATAATAATATAATATATGTCAAAAACCTCACTGGAAAAATAAGATATTGATATCTTACAGAATATGAATTTCAATCTTTTTCTGTTGGTTTTTTCAAAATATTCTAAGTTACGCTGACGTTTGCCATTTCCATCTTGTTTGTTTTTAAAATGAGTTTTTTGGGGGACAAATCGCCTATCAAAAGACAATATCTTATTTTAGGCACTGTTTATATTTTGATTTAGTCATCACGATATTCCTTTTCTGTACAGAGATCTTCAAATATTAATCTTTTCAATGGAAATTAATAAGAAATTCCCATGTTCGTTTAGAAGAACGTAAGCGCTATTCGTTTCGCTTGTTTGGCTAAAGATAAACCTTTTCCATTCAAAAATTTCTAATTTGCAAAAAATATACTCATCTATAGAAAGACGAAAAACATTTTTCGTTACATTTTATGACACATTAAATAAATAAGGATTATAAGTTTGAATAACTACAGGTATATATATTTATATTTATAGATAATAAAAATATGGAAATTGTCTCTGCTCTGGAAGTAGTGCTCTTCATTTTTTCATTCTTAAACTTTTTGAAATTCATCTAAAAAAATAAATAAATAAATTTTACTAACAGTATGATTATTCCATTAATTCACATTAAAAAAAAATAACTTACTATCTTATTAATTCTTTCCCAACGATTATTTTGTGACTTAGCTTTTAGAAACCAATTTAGATAAAAATCCTCCAGAAGACTTAGTTTTATCAGAATTTACTTTTTCATCAGCACCAGAGTTCTCTTTAGATTTACACTCGCTATTTAATTTACAGATGAATTAAACTATCTCAGATAATAAGTGATGTGTTTCGATTTAATTTCACTTACTTCTGATAAACGGAGCTATCGATTCCGCAACCTTTCTCCAACTGTGTTAAATACATTTCTGTCGTATCCATGTCGGCAGCGATACTATCCATATGTTCTTCTACATTCCCGAGTTGCTCTATAATCAAATATTTTCAATAAATAAAGTATAAATGTTTAACGAGTCTGCAAACGGATGAAAATCATTATTAGTTACTGTATACATTTTACAATAGGCCTATAAAGATTCAAAATTGTAGATTTTAAATATTTATAATAATTAATACTCATTTTGCTTTTTACCAATTTTAAGTTTTTATAATTTCTTTAAACATTATTTCTCAAGATTTAGATATTTTTAAATTTAAAAAAATACTATTTTAAAGATTCTAAGTCAATAAAAATAGTTTACCTTTTTGTTCTCCCAAAGCGACCATAGTATTTCTTCCGACATCTTCAGCCTAATGGAAAAATATCAAAATAATTAGAATTTCAAACTGATTAGCAATAAAATAAAAAAATTAAATTTTAAAATAGTCTAACCTCTTCACCTAGGCTTAACATCCGCCGTGTACTTTCAATTGACTAAAAAACCAGAAAATTTTGCTGATTTTAATGTTTAGCGTACAAAATTTAAATAAATTAAATTAATGTTTAGCTTATTTAATTAAAATCATCATATTCAAGTAAGAATCAACATTGAATTGTAGAATATACTCTTTAATTATTTACAGGATTTATTTTTAAATCTTTGCTATAGGCTTACTGACTTCTAAATAGTTGCTAATATAAACACGATATAATCTGTACTAAATTTGTTTTGTTTCAACGTAGATTATATTTGTTTTCGTTTCACTTAAATAGTTATAAGGAACTTTAGGAATTAATATATAAATTATGTAACACTACTTTTATACTTTTCTACTACCATTTTGTAACGCTCCTTAAAGTGTTGCACATACTCCCCTCAAAATTACGTATTCTAATTCATATCCTAAATCGCCCAGCTTAATTGTACTAAGGTATAATACATAACACAGGATACTGAATGTTAGGTTATTTTATCAGTTAAGTACAAAGCAGCGACCTAAGTATAGTTCGCTATGCAACGCTCTGGAAACAAAAAACGAATAACTCTGTCTCATCCAAGGGTTGCGATCCTAACATTGCGGGACGTTTATGCAAACACACCACCTTTTGTAAAGTATGTAACAATCATCAGCATACTCATCCATATCTGCGTAACGTAATTTATGGGCAGCTCCTATGTTTATAAAACAAAGAATAAGTTAAAATTAATCGCCTTAGTTGGCTATATAAGGGCGGATATTTAAGGGAGAAAAATAGAATGTTTAAATTTAAAAAATTGCTTTAAAAATATGAAAGAAGTAAATTTTAGAAGATAAAATAAAATCGCAATCTAACGAAATCGGATGCGCCCCATTACTATGGGCTGAACAAAAATCATTTTCATCTCAAACAACTAAAAACACGAAATTAATTAGGAAAGTATCTGATAAATATATAATTACTATCAAATTAAATTACATAACAAACTGAAATCAAAATGTGGTGTAAGTATTTGAAATCGTCTATTAAATCTTCGAGTCTGGAGAACTAATCGCGGTACTTCCGGTTTACTGAAGTGCGATTTTAGACTTGTATGATTGGCAAAATATACATTATGTGTCGTACATAAACCTTTGATTTTGATATATATATATATACATACAAGCAATTATTTATTGTGACATCGTTACAATGCCGGGCTGCAATTTTTAATCATATTATTAATTTATTTTATTTAAAATATATCCTCGTCATCTCAAATTAGAAGTGGCTTGCTCCTGTACATCATACTTTTCCTTTAAGAATAGCGTCATACCGGTAGACACGACTACAACACCTTAACAGGGGAAGCACGACTACATCTAACACCTTATAGGGGGAAATTTTTGAATTGAAACAAAATGACTTCCGATTAGCATCGGAAGTTTCTATATTCAGGACTTCCTGCCCTTAAGGCTTCTATACCTGTCGCATTCATCCATCTCACTCCATTCTCGAGATTAAGGAATGAACGACGAACGGACGAACGATAATGGGAATTTATAAGTCTACATTTTTTCCAAAATTGCAGTCCAATTAATATATAGATGTATAAACGTTTAAATACAAAGTAATTTATGATATGCAAATCAGTATGAAAGATATTTTTCTACACTCCTCACTAAAAGAGCATTTTTATGTTTTTCCAATNGATTAAGAAATTATAAGTCTACATTTTTTCCAAAATTGCAGTCCAATTAATATATAGATGTATAAACGTTTAAATACAAAGTAATTTATGATATGCAAATCAGTATGAAAGATATTTTTCTACACTCCTCACTAAAAGAGCATTTTTATGTTTTTCCAATTAGCAAAAAAACTACAGACAAATTTATTGCAAAATAAAAACCTGCAGAAAAATAAAATCATATTTTATGGAATGTGAATTTCAATCTTTTTCTGTTGAATTCTCGAAAATATTCCAAGTTATGCTGACATTTGCCATTACCGACTCGTTTATGTTCTTTAAATGGATATTTTTTTAAAATCGCCTATCAAAAAACAATATCTTAATTTATATACTATTCATACTTTCATTTAATCATCGCGACATTCGTTTCTTTTGATTCTGTTTTCAAGTAATCGTTTAGAATAAGATCAAAGTCCCAAGAAAACTTGAGACTCGTTGTAATTCATACTTTTATAAAATTAACGTTAGTTTTAAGTATTTTATTTTCTGTCAGTAAAAATGTTTTTAATTAATACAGAAACATTCTGCGTATTTCTTTTCTTTAAAAACAAAAGGCTAAAGGGGCCCGCTCTACTTCAGGCCCCATACAAAATCACTACGGCCTTCAGCATAAACCACGGGTGGGCAAGCAAACGTTCAGTGGGAGCCGAAATGTAGGTTTTGCAAAATGCATGGGAGCCGCAGTTCTGTACTTTTTTATTCTGTACCGCAGTTCTGTACCGCGATTTTATTATACAATATAAATATAATATAAAACAAATATTGAATTTTTTTAATAAACATATTTTCACAAAATTGTGAAAATAAAATTGTAAAAAAAAGTAATAAAAAGCAGAAATTAACACTTTCAACAAGAGCCGCATGTAACTCAAAAAGAGCCGAATTTTCACATGTTTGGTATAAACTGAAGGAGCAGGCTTTAATTTTGGAAGGAGCCGAGTTGAAAGAATAAAAAAANTGTTCTAGAGGTAGAGTACCGAGGTACCACTATATTTGATTAATGCAATTTCGAAATCAAGGGTATCCTGTATATATATACACGTACGATGCTCTGTTTTATAGCTTGTGCTCCCCTTTGTTTTATATAGTCTGTGGGCGCCGCGAGTACCGATGAGTATCGTTTTTATCCATTATATCCGTGTATAAAAAGAAAACCTATCGTTCAGTTTTATTGTTAGGCTTATAGCAAATACTCATCAAATTCGTCAATTTATTTGCTTTGAGTGTATTTACTAATAAGTGTATTTTGTTATTACTAGACTATTATTTTTTTAAATTTTGATATAGTTAAACATATATTAGGCAAGGATTCAAACTACTTACAGTGTTGAATGCATCTTTGAAAATACTTTTCAATCCTCCCAGTGAGTAGGGATTGTAATTTGCATCGTCAGAAGGATTAATAGCCATAATTAATCAATTATTATTCCCATTTTATCGTAATGCGACAATTATGACCACAATGCGACACGATACTGTAAACTCCCAATCAATGAAAGCTTGGTAACATCCGAAGAATATAATTTGTCTTTACATATTTATTTTTTAAGTTTTTACCAAACTCTGTGTCATTA